GTTCATGATCGAAGTCGGTGAGAGTAACCAAGAAAGTAGTGAAAAGGGGTGTTCATTCAGGCCAGAGTGAACGGACTCTAAAAGAACGGTACCCAAAAGAAGAGGTCCAAATTAAGCGTGCTAGCTGACACGAAGATTACATTGACCGGAAGGAAAAACTAGCCCTCCTTGCTATGCGTCCACAATTGAATCCGTATCAGAAGGTACACTGTACAACCGCAGTTTGCACGAGTAGGCCAAAAGTAAACGATGCAAGCAAAAGGAGGGAGGTCTACCTCGAACGCTGTAGAGATTTGTTGCGGATAGGCAAGGATGGCACTTGCTGGTCATCTCAGTGTCAATCAGCAACACAGAAGCACTGAGGAGACAAAACCAGCAAGATTAGGATGACCAGTGTTCGCTAAACCATAACAAGGGTACATCACTGATCAGCTTCTAATAACATGTACTGGGGTGCACGCTCCAGGATTGCGAACAAAGCGGTATCAGATCACCGAGGCAGCTTAAAAAGAACACTTGCCAGAAGAGTATATCCTCCTAGACTGCGCTCTTTGGCACCACGCAGCTGTTCCTGGCTCCTAATGCGCGAAATCTAGCCACGGCTACACGTATGAGTTATTGTCGGTGGCATTAACGATGCGTCATGTGATGTTATATTCTCGTATACTGCATTACCGCTTTTCTTATGTTCTTCCTATTCCGGTCAGGGACCGATAACATTGTGTAACGAGGTGGTTGAGCATCTATCCATGCAGTCAGAGCAATGGGGTCAAGCTAGAGACCAAAACTAACGGTCTATTACAGTCAGCGGACCTAGAGGTCACCAGATGTCTACGGTGCAGAAGCCTCCCGCTATAAGCGATAGATGGTGCTGTACCGTGTAATGGTCTGCAGAGGAGAAGACGTGCCCCAACGCTCTTCCCAGTAACCTTGTACTTCAGAAGATGTAATACCTGTTCAGTATGGTCCGGGAGGTTGGCTCGTTTTGTCGAACAATCACCCAGAGGAGTTCAAAGTAGGCCTCAACGGAAGCAGCATATTGGAGCTACAGCTGTAATGTATGCATGTGACACGAAGGATTTTTATGGTTATTCTGTGTTATTTACTGTAAACCCCAGCTAAGACATGACTATCAGCTTAAGAGTTCACGTGTGTCCACGCTTTTGAACCAAAGATGGTGTAAATCTGAATTACTTAAAAATCAAAAAGACGGTCGCATTCGTGTTGCAGAATATCGCTCAGCTAATCTCAAGTTAATCGCGTCTCCGGTATTTGTGTAAACTGGGACCAATCAGAATGTAGCTCTCATATATTCGAAGGCAGCATCCAATGTATACTAAAGGAAGAAAGACCTGCCGTACACGCTGAATGGCCATCACTCAGTGCTTCGACTGTTGACGACCAAACCGCCAACTCTAAGGCAACAGCTAATAAGCTCTCAATGTGACAGTAGTTTCCAAAGCAGACAGTCCTCCACTTAACCAGAAAAAGCACTAGACTGCAGTTTCACTCTGTTGGGCATCGTCAATAGTGTACATCCATCGGATCCATCAGAATTCGAACCCATGACCACGAGCGGCTTAAACTGCCAGCCAGCAACTTATGACACTGAGCCATGGGGCAGCTGCGGACCGTCATGATTTGCAAGCTAACTGTGATACAATGCGTCTTAACCTCCACCACTAGGCGAGTTAAAAACGTTGCAGAGGACAGGGTTGGTCCCGAAAGACACAAATTCTACTGACAATAGTTATGTATGACATAGCATTCAAAAATTGTCAAGGCAAATATTTTGTGGTACTCACGATTAGGGGGCTTTTCGATGTAATTAATTGAGGCTTCGTCGCACCAGCTTCCAAATCAAATGCTCCTCCAGATGCTTGGGAAAGCACTTACTAGACTGCAGTTCCTACCTGTTCGGAAGCTGCAGCAATGAACTCTAGAGTAATTACATTGAAAACCCCTACTCATGACTACGTCACAATAGTACGTTGCCAGACTAAGACGGGGTCCCAGTCGGATCCGAGCAAGCAGATGGCCTTATCAACCCGATCAGTATCGTGCGCTTACATCATCAATGAGTTGGTTGGTGTCAAATGCCATCAAAACATAGGTAGGATTGCACGTGGAGTACTCATAAGAATTAACTTGTAACCATGACGAAGTCAGTCCAGTAAACACGTACCTACAAGCTAGTTCATTTGAGGCGTGCTCAATCATTAGCTTGCTTGTGCCTTTCCAACAAGCAGCGAATAAAAAGAAGTCACAAGCCCTCCGAAGCATTGTTGACCAAAAGCGGCTCGGGGATAAACTGGTCGAGTAGCGCTTATCGCTGGTGAGTACGCAACTGTGGACGGGCTCACTGCAGCGTAAAAGCTCACACTTGGAGGTATATATGGATGTTGTTTTCAAGCAACGAATGCGGACTACTACTTCGATCGGAGCAGAGATGTCGACGGAAAATGTTCCAACGATAACGTGTTCATACATGTGAAAACGATTAGCCGCCTTTTGCCGTCTCTTTTGTGGTTTGTTTTACGTTCCACTGCCTCATCACATGAACTGTCAAACCAACCGCTAGCTACCGGTATCTACTAAGATGGCTGACAGTGGCCGTATCTCACAGAAGCGAGCAGTTGCTGCCTTGTGTGGCTGGCATACACGCGCACATCGGTGTGTCAATGAAGAGATCAACCATGCATGCTAACGTGTTTACACTAGTTTGTACACAGTGAGTAAGAATGTAAACAGAGAACATAAACTACTCAACTACATCAAGGATGGTCCCCCCAGATGTCGAAGACAAAGCGCGCAATAGGGCGTTGAAGCAACCCAACCTCTGCGGAATAGAAACCACCGACGTCTTTCGACGAACTCAACGAAGCCGAGGATGTGGCCAGCTGCTCAGAAGGTGCGCGTTGAAAGTGATGGATTGCGCACCGGGTACGCTTATCGGTCCAATTTTGCAACATGTGATAAGTTAACCCATCAACTGGAACCATTGTCCTCTTCATCGCAGTACTCCGAAATGTGGAAGCAAACTTTTAGTTATCGATTTGTCACTAAGTTATTCCGGTAGATAGCAGGTGGGTATGAATGCTAGCCGGTGAAGATGATGGATGATAAACGCTTACTTGAGCTGTACAGAAGTAAACAAATTAGCGCGACTAAATGCATCAGTGGTTGGGACGTGAAATGGGTAGGACTCTAAACCTATAGTCATAATCAACAAAGTAGAACAACTTTGAGGAGAGCCAAGTAATGTGATACTTCTAGACGGATGGGTATATCAACGTGTGTTATGAGGTACATTTGATCCCAGGCTGGGACGATAAAGCGGTCTAGTCTGGACAAACGAGTTGGTTGAGGCTGTGGTTCTGTCATTCGCAATGATACAGACGGTGGGCTACGTGGTCCAACTGCGATTTGGATGCAGGAACCAGGCGCATAGTTAAACCCACCGATGAGAAATTGAAATGTGGAAAAACGTAAGCAAATATGTCCTAACGCCTTATCTTGGAGATCTGGTGTTCGTAAGAGAAAAAGGTAGTTATTCTCGGACGTGGATTTAGATACTAAAGAAGACGACCCCCTTCTATTTCAAAATAACCAAAGTGGTGAGAGACGAAAGAGAGATTTCGGAGGAAAGCAAGATAACCATAAAGTGCTCTGTAAACCAAAACTACTCATTAATTGTTCGCCATAGAATTGTATAGGCGAATTACATTCATTCGCCAGATCAGAAGCCAAACTCATTCTGATGATTTCAAGCAAAACGATTGTAGATATTCGCGGATGACGGTATACCGTCGATGATTTCAACTCCCAAATGTCCTCATTTCAGACGATGTGGCCTCAATACGTTTCTTCGAAATTATCCCGAAACCCATTCCACCAAAATGGGGGATTTTGTCTAAACCCAACAAACGTCTAGGCATACTGAGTCAAAGTAGCTACGCCGCACACTACTGTCCTTTAATCCCGATGGGATTGAAGCCGTCAAACAGTTCTGACATCGAAATGAAAGCATGTCATCACATGGGAGAGAGAAAAAAGAAGGAACAATTGACGGAGAACATCGTATGGCGTTAGGGTGAAAAGAATTCGGACAATTTCGCGGGGAAATGGAAATCTGAAGGTGAGAAGGAAAATGGAGATCCATGAAAGCAGTGTTATTTAGACTGGATGTCGTTTCGTGTGCACAGTTCGGAGATGCGTTGAGATGGCAGAGTGGTGTTTTGGCTGCGAGATCAATTAAAGATATGGTGCTGAATATCGCACTTTTGAGTGGTTGAGCCCGAAGCGACAAGTGAGGTGATCCAGGTCCGTCACTCGAAATTTATTCCTGATGTACATAAACAACAAGCGGGTTGATTCCGTCCGTACGACTGAACCTACTAGCGGTGCGGCGTCGGTCAGAATACGTTGACTGTAAAGCCTAATGCCTTAGTGCTGTTTTGCGTAACAGCAATCAGCAGCCCTGTTTTGGTAAAATCTTTAAAATGATGTTCCCAAGATGAACCGGGTAATTTTTTATTAGTGAATCGGGGAACTGTTGGCTAAATCGTATAAGAAATTGTGGACCAAGGGTTCATTCCATCAGGCCGTGCGCGACCTTGATGCATAAATTCACGAGGCCCAAGTGAACAGGCACACCTTCTGAGCGAACTGACGAATGCATAATTTGATACAGACGCCATGGAGTGACGAAACTGTTATATTTACTCATCCACTATGAACTCGTAGGTCCGTGGGTGACAATCCCGGTTACATAATCCCGGCAGTATGAGAGAAACTAATCTAATTGGCGATGATGTGTCTAGGGTGGGAATAGGACAACATGGATTCTAAACGCGTGTGAACAATCGGCTAGATGTTCGGTTTGAAGTCCTACCGTGTAGTCGTCTTAGGAGCAAGGACTTTTACTATCTATGGCGGGCACAGTCAGCAGTCAGTTACGACAAAAACGGCTGTAAAAGAAACAATAGAGTATGACTTGCTTTACGGGAACGCGGCTCCGACCGATCACACTACGACCGCAGTATGTCCACAATGCGGAAATAGCACAACCAACTTCCGAGGATTCACCAGCTGTCACGTAGCTCGGCCCACTTACGCGCACCATGCCTGTGGTCCAATGCACTGAACATGTCGGCGAAGAGTGCCTTGATCACGTGGCCCCAGCAAGGCCAATCCTCGTTAAGACAGTCTTGGCCAATTGTTGGTCGGCCTAACTGTGATTGGCTAACACGATTCATACGGCGAATACGTGTGCACCGCGCCTTCGGCACATGATGTTTGGTCTCATGTACGTTTGGGCGATGGCTGGTATTGTGAGGCTATAAGGGACACGAGTCACCGGTCCACTCGACTTCCGGCTAATTCCCCCCCCCCCCGCTTCATGTGTCGCGCGTCTTGACGATACTGTGCTGCATCCACCTGTGGTGGAACCTGTGCACATTGTGGGCACCTAGGATTTCACTGAACCCCTTCGTCAACATTCCGCAGGGTGACTACCGTGCACCAGAGACCGCTCAAATGGTCACCATAATGTTGACGCGCATCGCAGGTGTGAGGGCCCGCCCGAAGTTTTCCTACTGAGTGTCCGTCACGTGATCTGGTAGTATCAGCTCTCCAACGTAGACGCCAATTGCTGCTGGACTAAACTGTAACGGTGCGGAACAGCTGGCAGGCGTGGCCTCACTTGAGATTTCGTGACCTGAAGCACTAGTTACTGGTGTCGGCATCTCGTATCTTTCATGTACAGGATCGGATGGAATTATATTACTAGCAACTCCACGGACTAAGTCTGTTAGGACATCCAGTTGGGACACACCAGGTTAAATTTCGGGATTTGCCGGATTCGCAACGGCTACTGACTACTCGCCGGGCGTTGCGCGAATTTTATCGAGGAACTAACTGCGAGTGTCCAAAGTCGAACCGAACGAATTCCTGCAAACCACGAAATGTATTCTTGCAAAGGGTGAAATGTGCAAGTGGGTGATAGACGCGGTCCTGAAATAGACTAAGGTGGAGTGCGCTGGCATCGTGCACCAGTCGAAGTTCATGGGTAACATGTTGCTTCCACCCACTAAATATAACAAATTGCGGCTGATTGGAAGGTCATTTGGAAGTACTTGTGCGATTGGGTAGCGACGCGCAATCTCTATGTAAACCGTGATTCACATTGAAGTGAACCTTGGTCAATACGATCACTGACACCGTAGCCGAAGCGGCCGGAAATTGGAGGCGGGCAGCAGGTTTCGTACTTTCAGGAGTCGAGATAAATGTTGAATGGTTTATGACATGTAACATGACATGTAACAGTACGTATCTCCCAAATAAAACATTGCCGAGTCCACTTTTTCGCGATTTTTGAGTTGTTCTCTCCTTTATTGCACCCACGGGATCGCCGCCAAGCTAACCGGTACACAGCAGGTCCGTTGCAGGTTGTCTAGGTTACGATGAATAATCGAATACGTTGTGTACTCTGCACCTCGGAAAACAAAGCGGAGCACTTCAGGTAGCGATGGCTACAAAGTCGCAACTTACGTAACCACCGCTGTACGTTAGGCGGCATCTTGAAGAGTTAGGCTGGAACCTCAGTGAAATGAGCCATACTACGGAGCGTAATGATGTTTCTACACCGGTTCCTGACTGGGTACCAGGCACTGTGATTATTTCAAACTTTAGGCTTGTTTGCGAAACTCGTAGTATTCCAAGCCCCATTGCTTTCATGAGCGAAAGTCGGCTGGGGGCACGATTGCCCTTTTGTGTGACCACAGAAGCGGAATCATATTCTTGTGTGTTACGAGCACAATCTAGTACTAACATGTCGACATGCCGTTTGCAGTGTGTATCATTCCGCGATGGTCCGCTGTTCATGTGCCCAGTAAATTGTGTCGTCGTTGCCTCCTCACTAATTCACGAAGTAACTACAACTGACCGGTTGCTGTTCAGCTTCTGTTGTTCGTGTTTTTTCGCCCCCTAGAGAAGACTGTATTCCATCGATTCCACCTTGGGCCAACGCTCTAACAGCGTAGTGCCCCGTCGAGCATAGCCAAATGCTAACGTCACCGAGCAGCGTATTGGTTTTAACTGTTCAGGTACTTGTTTCCAAGTGTTTGTGTGTCCGATCCTCTTGGTCTCTTTGCTCACCACGCAAGCACGCTTAGTGTCTTAGATCTAACGCAGTGTACTTATAACTATATTTTTCTCAACCTCTTACTGACCAGTCCTCAGTTTTTAGCACCTTTTCTCTACCATGATCGATCTATCTTTAACGGTATTCACTGGAAAAACGGTCTTCGTTGGGCTGTTTACGGCTTCCTGCCCGCTGGACCAGTTCACTGTATATTGAGAGTATATTGATGTTGCGTTATCTGACTGTAACCGCGCCTCATCAGTGACCGCACTGTAATCCACCCAGTATTCCAACTTCATAGTATCCAGGTGGTGACCTGCTCGACTTCGAATCAGCATTGTGGAATCCGACCGGTTTTGGTACAAGTGCTTAGCCTCGAGCCTTGTGAGTGGAAGTCCATTTGGGCTTATGAATTGTCAGTTAACTCTTTAGTTCGGATTGCAATTTGTAAAGGATTCATTTTAGTCATCTTAATCCCTTCCAATAACACCACTCGTAGCAACTTGGTATTTGCGTGAGGGATGTACAGTACTTTCAAAACCGATATTGAGCACTCTCACTTGTTTTATTTGTTGGTCGACGTCTGCTAGGCCACTCAGTTGTTTTTACCGGATTCACTTCAATTAAGGAGACATTCTTGTGTCGTTGAACGACTCTAGAATTTCGCGCTCAGCGACTGAAGCGATTGTCCTCCTTCGGTTCAGCAAGTGGTGGACATGTACGGTGCACAGTGTCCTAATGTACACCCCACCGCAACCGCTTCGGTATAAACACATGGGTTACTAACACCGCATTATCTCTCCATATACATTCTATGCTTCCTATACATCTATATGAACGAGGCGTAAGTTCAGCGATCCTTGTGAAAGCTGCGTTTTAGGAGCACGCACAGCTCATTTATATCATTCGCTCTGAAATTCAATGCATTTTACGGTTCTTTTTGTGGGAGCCCAGTTCTCCTCCCATTAGGATAAGTTGCGCGTGTTCCACATGCATGTGGCGATGTTGTTTCAGTTATTCTGCCAACTAGACCCCTCAAATGCATTTTAATGAAGTGATGACGCACGAGCACTTGCATGGTATCTGCGCTGACGTACCAAACGATCGATTTGCAGCCGTACCCGCACGCAGCGTGGCTGATTGGAATTCGAACCGAATACAGCCCCACGAGTCCTAATCACTGATTGGACGACAAAAGAGGCAGTTGTCCAACATAGTAATCTCACCTGTTCGAGGAAAATGAACCTCACAAATGTACATCGAACCAGGGAGCGAAAGACGTCTTTAACGAGTGCGCTTGTACTGTATGAGACAAGTGCGAACACCGAGTTGTACGCTATCGGATTTACAGCACGGCTAACTACACCCCTACCGTATGAATCTCGCTGCGTGTAAACGTACACTTAATGGTACTTGACTGTGGTGTCAATACCGCGTGGGAACAGCTTAGATTCACGGGATAGTCATGCGTTTCCACCAAACATTAGATGCAACACGTGACCATCCCGTGGCAGTATCCGACTGAATTTTCCCACTGCTCAATCTCACATGCAATCAGTACTAATGGCATTTTTTCGGTCGGAGCTGGTGGAAAGTACAATCGCTTAAGCAAATCCACGCTACCTTTGTCGCCACCGTAGCATCGCTCATTGTTAATGAAAGTAGAATTCATGATATCACTGGTGGTCCGTCTTTCTGATTTCACACACACACAAAGGAGGCACCTCTGTCTTTCTGTCGGATGAATCCATTGTCCTAGTCGATTAGTGATGCCGATTATGTCGCTTATCGCCATGCTGCGTGCTCCCACTTGTAGCTAATTATCGCTCACTCAGTACTCCGGAGCCAGAAGTGAATGTGCGAGCAAGCAAGGTCTGTTGCAGCCAATGTTTCGCATGGGGTTGTAACCAATGTCCTATCAAACCCATTATCGGTGTGGACAATTATCTTGATGGACCACGAGCACCACCCTGTGACGGTCGCTGATCGTTAACAGCCGGCAATCTCGAGGTAGCAACGAAAACGCAATCGTGCTTAGGAAAGCCGAGTTCCTCCTCCTACTGATCTCATCCAAAGTAAACATGTCCGACGTAAATCCAAGCTGTTTGGTTCCCACACCTTAGGGCCCGGTTTGGTATTCAGCGTTTGTCTATACTTGCAAGGCTTTGGTGAAAGTTAAAAAGCAGGGGTTACAGGTTAACACATATTTGTGCCTATCGAGGCTTATTCAGTTAATGTAATTGCATCTATCTATATATATCTATTATACACAATCTGTGGTACAGATATCGTGCCATCGGAATCATGACTGAATAGGAAAACAATGAATAATAAGAAAAGAGCAAAACCAAATGCTTTTTTTGTCTATTTTACCACTCACAGTTTTTGAAATTTTTCAGTTTGTTCTTTTTTTAGGGGGAGGAAGAATGGACACCGCAACAAACCGATGCACATGTCCGCCATTGACATCAATCTTGAGCCATAACTTCCAAGGTCTTCAACCAGCAAGTAACCTCATCTCTCGGACCCCAACCAGGTAGTCGACAACAACCGGCCGAGGCCAACTGTTTCGTCTACTTTTTCACGCGGCTTCTCCAGGTTGTAGGCTGTCCACCAGACCGTCTCTTCCAGCCCTGTCCAGCAAGTGCAAACAACGCACGACGGGGGTAACGCTGGACAGGCATGCGCAATACGTGTCCCAACCACCGCAGTTGATGCAGTGAGATGAGCTCCTCGAGCAAGTGGCTTCCACCTCCCAAGACACGCTGTCTAACTTCCACATTGCTTACGTGGTGCTGCCACCACACACGGGCAATGGACCGCAGACAGCGGTGCTCGAAGACGGATAGCCTGCGCAAGTCATCTTTACGAATGGGCCAGGTCTCGCATCCGTACAACAGTACAACACGAACAGTTGCACAATAGACCCGCCCTTTGATGGAGAGACGAGTGTCGTGGCGACGCCACAAATGCCTCAGCCTAGAAAAAGCGAGGCCTGC